GCCAACAAAAACATATTTCACATCTACAATCAACAATTAATATTATAAATACTCACAAGTGACATTATTTATCCCCTTTATGAGTAATTTGTTGATAAAATCTTCAGAGCCAGTAGACTACACGCCATTACACAGTGAACAGCTGGTGAAAACTGTTCACAGTATGTACAGGGGGTGTTTACTACGCGTTTTAATCTCTCGATACTCTACGGTTAAGAAATGTGGTTTTAATATTTTGAATAAAAAAGTCAATTTCATCTTTAAAAAAAATAAAATAATAATAATATTAATAATAAACGTATTTACTTTTCTTTTAAAAATATATTATTTGAAATTGATGACTTCGAGAGAGAGATAGAGAGATGCATGTACCTCCTTCTATTGTTTATATTCCAAACCAACAATTCTCAATTATATACATGTATATGGATACATATATATAAATGTCTTCATGAAAATATGATCAACGTTTGTTTTGATTTACTAAGAACTGCACAATACACTGAAAATTTGTAAATTTAAAGCAATGCTATATTTGAAAAACATCGTGAAGTAGATTCAAATATTTTATCGTTGAATACGAACAAATCAAACAACTACAAAGATCAAACGTAGTCATAGATTAAATTTTATACCCTAATTAAGGCACATAGCAAGCTCCTGGCCAGAATTTGTTTTGGGTTTTTTTTCACTTTCTGATAAAATATAATATCCATATAACAATCATTTTACATGTTCGTTACTCCAATTTGGAGACATGAGAATTAGAAAATTCTGTAATCAAGGAGCTATCAATTTGCCAAATTTAATACAATAGTTGATTTTTCTCTTTCCGAGATACTTTCAAAGTGTATCGTATTTATAAGACTTTTGAAATTGTATTCATCAGGAAACATTAAAAAACCACAGAAAAGATAGGAAAAAACTAAAAATGAGTGGAAAATACTCCTTTAAATCTCGGAAACATAACATTTTTCAGTACAGCAATCACACCACTGCTCCAAGAAATCAATGATTAATTTTAAACAGATTGCTATAATTTACAGAGATAGGAGCTTGAAAATTAAATATATATTTTCATATCATTTTCAATATGAAGACCATCTTTAACCAAAATTATATATCTACATATAATGAGGTGCTGTCATACACAAATAAAATAATTCAATTTTTTCTTTCTGATTAACAGTGGTCTTTAACAACTGATTTTATTAAAGTCAGAGACGTAGTATCGTTTTTGAAAAGGGGGGGGGGTTACCAGGAAAAAAAAATCTAACTTACCTGGAATAAACTTTGACAAGAAAAGAAAAGACGAAAACTGTCTCCAAACTCGAAAATAATATTTTGCGAAGGGTGGGAGGAAAAAGGTTGGGGGAGGGGGGGTCCAACTTTTTTCCAACGTATTTTTTTTCTAATACATTACACCAAGTTACCATGACTAAATTATGATACAACAAAAAAGGGGGATAAGCAACCTTTAAATATGCATTTAATTTCAAAGAATCGACTTGAACTTCTGAATCATTTTATTGTCCGCAAGTTTCATTTTATGACTTACTTGTAAATCAATTGTATTTTTTTATTCAATTATTACAGAATTCGCCACGTTAGCTTTAAGGTAGTCCATTCCTCGGGTTCTGAAAACCAGACAATGAATAATTGAAAATGCACACAAAAATATCTCTGAATTCTCAAAGTAATGTGTATTTACTCACAGTGATTCTTCTTACTTCACCAATAAAGTTAATCATATTACATAGGGGAAATTAGTAAATCTCAAATAATATTTTAGGAAATGTGAATAGAAACACCTACTATGAATTTTTTAATTGAAAATTGGTAAACAAATATATTTTAAGCTGAAAACTAAATGCATCCAGGCATTTGAAGAAAATTTCATAATTTTTATACTGATCCTGTACAATAGTTTCTTCTGTTTACATGAATTAATTTATAATGCATAGAGTATAAAGCATTACCTGTCATTGTAAAACACTATACATCACCTCTTATTTTATATTATGCTAATAAACATTGGTATCTAAGGCTATACTAAAAGAAATTCGATTTTTTTTAAAATATGTAATTGTGGGGTACAAACATCAACTTTTTATTAGACCGTTTCTAAGTCTTCAAAGAACCTTGAATCATATTGCAATGGATGAAATGAAATTTGTTGCATGAAAAGATTGCAATTTCAAGCTTCATTTTGAAACTTTTTGAATTAAATTTTAAATTAAAGAGTTATCCTTCCTAGCTGAGGAACGGATATCCTTAATATCAACCATTCAGTACAATTTTTGGTAAACATTCCTATTTCTCGAAGAAAAAATACAAATATAGCTTTAATTATGGAATTCCATATACGACAGCCAACTGCTTACTGCCAACTGCTCACTGCTTACTGCCAACTGCTCACTGCTTACTGCCAACTGCCAACTGCCAACTGCCACACATATTTGAATAAATTTTCATATTTATATTGATATTTATGTGAATTTTCATAAAACCAGGCGCGGATCCAAGAATTATTTTACAGGAGGGGTCCACCCCAGTAAAAAAAATCCAACCCAGAAATTTTTTGACCAAAAAAAAAAAAACCCAAAACAAAACAAAACAAAAACGTAAACTCCTTTCCTAAACGTAAAAAACCTATTTCGGCGGGGTGGAGGGGAGGGGTTGACATCTTATGCTTCATATCAACTTAACACGGATCCACGTTTTCTAGGAGGGGGGGGGGGATTTCCAAGGTCACCGTGGCTTTTAGTTGGTTTAGTATATACATTAAATAACTCTACAAATTCCAGGGGGTGGTCCGGACACCCACCCACCCCTTCCCACCGACCCCCCGACCCCTCTAGATCCGTGTATGTAAAACATAACTTATTTGGGAAAACTAAGAGATACAGATCTTTAATTTGAGAAAATATTTCACTATAGAAATTAACGGAAAATGGAAATTTATTTTCAAAACATCTTCCCCGCGAAACAACAGATCCTTCTATTCAGTTTTTATTCATTCCAAAGGTTTTGTTGTCTCACGGGGGGGGGGGGGGGGGGCACGTGTTTTTGAAGATTAAAAACAGGAAAATAGTCATTTTATTACCAATTTCAAATGAGATAACAAATAAAAAATGTACTTTATCACTTTATCAATCTCGTATGTTAAATTTTACGTAAGTTAAAACTTACGGTGAGATTTAAGAGTCATTTATCCATTTTCATTTTCATTTTCATGAATATTTGAAAATGGTGATGTTTTCAGCCTGATTTCATTTGATAAAATTTTCTACCCCCTTATAAAAGGAGTTGTAAATAAGAGCAATTAACTTTTTGTCACTGGTTTTTAAAATCAGTACTTAATACTAATGAACTTTTCTTTGCATTCAAACAAGTTTTTATGTCCAAATTGCCATTTATATTAAATTAAATGGATGGAAAATGTAGGCGGGAATCGAGAGTTAGTGTGCGTAGTTCTTACAATAATAACAAAATTTGGCGGATTTAGGAATTTTTAAACTGTAAAGGCGAGGAAGGAGTAAATCGGAAGAAGGGGTGTTTCCTCTTAATAACAAAACATTTAATTTCTGCATTTGGTTGCAGGCAAATAATTTGATAGCTTTTTCTGACGCGGGTAAGGGGGGGGGGGGGCACATACGACAAAAGAACAAACTTTTAAAAGGGTCTTGTGTAACATTTGTTGGTTTATGTATTTATAATAGAAATATTACTGAAAGTTATAAAAACAAATAACTTTTGCCTAGTTTAAAATATCTAGTAATATCTTTAGGATTTTCTTTTTACCCAAGAAAAAGTACCTATGTATGGTAATTTTTATGTGTGCCTTATGTAAATCGTTTTAATGACTAATGTAAGATCTGTAAAAAAACATTCGTGGTGGTGGTGGTGATTGTGGGGAGGGGGGGGGGGGGTGGGCGTAACCACTAAATTTCCAGCATATACTATATACAGTAGTTCTCCCTTACGGAAGCGTATTAGTGCCACCCCCTCCCCCCCCCCCCTCCCCGCCGAAATAGGTTTTTCACGTTTAGGAAAGGAGTTTGCGTTTTTTGTTTTTTGTTTTTGTTTTTGTCAAGAAATTTCTGGATTAGATTTTTTTTTACTGGGGTGGGCCCCTCCTGTAAAATAAATCTTGGATCCGCTCCTGGTTTTATGAAAATTCACATAAATATCAATATAAATATGAAAATTTATTCAAATATGTGTGGCAGTTGGCAGTAGGCAGTGAGCAGTTGGCAGTAAGCAGTGAGCAGTTGGCAGTAAGCAGTGAGCAGTTGGCAGTAAGCAGTTGGCTGTCGTATATGGAATTCCATACTTTAATAGACCTTTTAAAAAAAATCCATGCTACAAAACCGATTTGTAAAAAAAAAAACAACAACAAAAAACACGCACATTCTTAATTCAATGTACATATAGATCTGTGTCCTCCAACCGAACAACTCTGACCTATACATTTTTATCATCGTAAAATTTTTGGGACTTGACTGCTGTTAAGGACGTACAACACGCCATAACCAAAAATTCCTGTTGTGTATGCACATTTTGGACAAAATCGATCGAGCATTTTTGGACAGGAAGTTCCAAAAGTTACGGTAGCGATTATCTGGTGAAATCGATAAATGCATTGAATTTTGATTATGTGAACGCTACATGTACATAAAGTTTCTTATTTCAAACTTATAGAGGGGGCATCACCCCTCTCCCTCCCCATTGCATGCATCTTCTGGTGTTTGAGTAAAGAAAATAGAAATTCTGTTTTCGTCCATATTAACTTTAATGTAGAAAACTGAAAATTCTTCATCTTTTTTTTAAATCATCCATGTGTCATCTTAGCTAGCCAAGGGTTTTCGGTTTATGGGGAGCAGAGCGGACCGAAAACCCTTGGCTAGCGAAGATGTATACCTCCAGACTGCAGAGAACTGAATCGACCGAGGTAAGTGTTCGAGATAAAGTGTTCTCTGATATGTACATCGGGATCGATGTTCAACGGAGGTGTGTCACTCAAGGTCAAGGTTACTCTTTCGAAACAACAAATAATCATCATGTCGCTGAAAACGACCTCCCCGTTGTTTAAGATTATTTTCAACAGTAGTATTCGATATGCAGCTTGCAGATATCAAGGAACTGTTGCGCGTATCCTTTTTGATTATATCTAATTAATCAGGTTTATTTTGGTCAGTTTGTATATTATAGTCAGCTGATAAGGGATTTTCAGATAGGTCTGCTAACATCATTGAAGGAAAATTGATAAAATCATGTTAATTTCTTGTTATTATTGCTTCATTTTATTATTTTTCATGTTGATGCAATAGCCTCTTCCTCAAAATTGTGTAATACGTGTATTAAGGACAGAGAGAAAGTAAAGTCATGATTAAATAACCTTTGCATTTGTTGCATAACTTTAACTGAAAATATTGGTTTTATTAACATTCCTTATGCATGTTATGAATGAAATTTCTATTTATACATGTATCACAGAGTAACTAGATAAGAATATGTGTAATTAAGTGATAAGACTGTATTAGTAATTCTATTGTTAAAATGATATTATCCTAGTATGGGCCCAATTCATTCCCGTGTTGGCAATATAGCAAAATGAATGGGGGCAGATAATTTTTAATCTACATGCATGCTAGGATTAATTCAGAGTTGTGAATGTCAATATGGTGTTTAAATTTGAAGTTTGAAAAAAATGTTTACAAAATGTGTTGAATTTTTTCATTATATGGATAATTTTGGGAGATAAGACATATACAAGTTCAAAAAGGTTTGTTATGATTGATTTGGTAGTCATTTTTCATTACAATTCCCACAATACCATGCCAGAGTGGATCCTGTTTAGTTTTGCTATATTGCAGCTATATTTGACATATTCTAACACTGGTGAGGAATTGTCATGAGATTATCACTTAGATTATTCTAACCATATGTTGGAATGATGTTATGAGTTTTTAAAAGAATCTTCACATGAAGTAACAAATCTGTAGTCAAGATTTTTCTTTTTAAATTTTTTTTCCCCCCAATTTTATTTTATTGAGTGATGTAAATCAATGTGTGGTGATGTTTCTGTATAAACTATCAGAAAAGTGTTTTGCCTCTGAATTCCTTGATGAATAAAAAGAAGCACAAAAGACTGAGAAATCTCCCGGAAAATCAACAGGTATGTATGGGACTTCTTAATATATTATTTTACCTGAGCTCAAGTGAGCGTCTGATAGAAATTTGTCTGTAGTCATCATTGTTGTTGTAAACTTTTCAGAAATTCATCTTTTTTTTCCAGAACCACTGGGCCAATTTCAATAAAGCTTGGGCAAAGTATCTTTGGGGATGGGGATTCAAGTTTATTTGAATAAAATGTCCTCTTCCTAAGGGAGATAATCAAGAAAATGCAAGAACACAGCAGAATTATTTAAAATTCTTCTTCTCAAGAACCACTGGACCAGAAAAGATGGAACTTGTGTGAAAAGTTCCTGACATAGTGTAGATTCAAGTTTGTTCAAATCATGGCCCATGAGGGTAAGGTTGGGCCACTATAGGGAAAAATTTTTAACAATCTTTTTCTCAAGAACAGAAAAGACATGATTAGTCATATATCATGTATATTAAGATGTAAGCTTCCTCAGATAGTGCAGTCACAAGTTTGTTTAGTTTTTGGTCCCTGGAGGTAGGATTGGCCCAAATTTTTGCATGGGAATAGACAGTGAAAAGTCTTTCTAAATTTTTTTTGCTTGAACAGCAGGGCCATGATTAGTCATGCAAATGGGCAAGCATCCTATGATAATGCAGGTTCAAGTTGGTACAGATCATGGCCCAAAGGGAGGGTTGGGAAAAAAGTTTCACTTGGGAAAATATACACTTGCAGTGAAAAGTCATTAGAAATCTTCTTTTCAGAACAGGTAGACCATGTTTAGTCATATTGATAAGCATGCATCCTCAGGTAGTGCAGATTCAATTTTGTTTAATATCTGGCCCCTAGTGTGGAGTACTGGGGCAACAGTTGGGGATCAAATTTTTAGATGGGAATGTATAGTGAACAGTCTTTAAAAATCTTATTTTCATGAACAGCTAGGCGTATTACATGTAATAAGCATGTTCAAGTGGCACTGATTCAATTTTTTTGAAAGCATGGCCAAAGAGGTAGGGTAGGACCACAATAAGGGATCAAAGTGTTACATGGGAATATTTTTTAAAAAATATCTTTAAAAATCTTTTTAAGAACAGTAAGGACCTAACTTGCCAATAATATGCAAGCATTCTCAGATACTGAGAAGGTACTCTGATATATTTGAGTTTGTTCAAATCACGATTCGACATGAACACTTGGGTATAGTGGGGCCACAATCGGGAATCAAATCTTTTTGCTGAAATATTAAGGAATTCAATAAAAACGAGAGTAGTAGGTCCCTAAATCATATTAATATGCAAACATTCTTAAGTTTTGTGTACAGATATAAGTCCTTTTTTTTTCAAATCAGAGCCCCTTGGGTTAGTGTGGGGCTAAAGTTAACATGGTAAAGGCTAGATCAAATGTTACCAAATGCATGTATGCAAGAAAAACAACCTGTAAAATATCTTTTCTAGAACAGAAGACCATGTTAGTCATATTCATATTGAAGCATCTCAGTGTTATGTGGATTCTAATTTGGGAATTGGGTGAAGTCATAATACAGGGTCAAAAGTTTTATCATGAATGGAGAGGGAAGAAAATTATTATTATTTTTTTTTTTTTGGCTTAAGAACAGCAGGGCCAGTGTGACTCATGTGTCCACTGTGGCCCATGGCCTTCTGGTTGATTAACAAGTCAGTATCTATAATTTAACTATGAAAGCTATTATCATGATTATCAAAACTTGTATATATGATAACTTCAACTATATAATATGTAACCAAAGTTTGTGTAGCCTAGAACTTTATATGCTAATGGTAAACAGAAGATTACTTAATGGGAAATGGAATATAATTCTAACTAGATTGAAGAGAGGTGTGTCCTATTGCTAATATGTATCATTTTATATGGTGAAATTTGGGAGAAATTTACTGTACACAGGGGTGGCAGGAGGTGATATATCTCTGTTTTAATGACCATATTCACCACTTCAGATTTCATGATTGGCTAAATAAATAAATGAAAATAATTCTAAAATAGTCTCTTCAAATGGATTAATTCACCTCCTCAAATTATTGAAAGCCCTGGTACTGGTATATACTATAATGTGTACATATTATTTAATCAATTGAGACTTGGGATTTATTTCCATTCTAATAATCTTCACTATTGTTTTATTATTTATTCATAAATTATTTCTATAGCAAAATTCAACTGGCAAGATGCACTGAACCTAGAAAATCAGTTGACAGAAGAAGAGAAGATGGTGCGAGATTCATTTCGAGCTTACTGTGATGACAAACTCATGTCTCGAATACTCATGGCCAACAGACATGAAAGTGAGTCACTGTCATTACATGGGTTGATTTATATAATTGTTTCTTAGAAATCTGCAAAAAACTTTTTTGTTCATTCTTTGGTAACACAGTGTGTATATAGCTACAACAATTCAAACAATATGCCATTAAAAGATGTGAACATGCAGTGAGAGTAAATAACAATCTAAAGGTAGAAGAAACTGTTGTCCTGTAGTTACTATTAGTAGTAAGTTAACATTTTTTAGTCGAAACAATTAGATAATACAAGTATTACTTGAGTGAAAAAAAGTCTATATAAAATCCACAAAGATTACTTTTGCCCCACCTGTGAATTTTTCCTCTTCTAATTGTAGAATTTGACCCAGAGATTGTTCCAGAGATGGGAGCCATTGGTGTACTAGGCCCCACCATTAAAGGTTATGGTTGTGCTGGGGTTTCTTCTGTTGCTTATGGCCTCATCGCCCGAGAAGTTGAGAGGTACACCCTTTATGTACTTGATAATTTTGATTTAAGTAGATATTGTATCTAGCATGTGTGTAACAGTCTGAATATGAAATTCTTTATAGAAGAGCATAATGTGATCATGAAACAAATTTTAGAAACTAAATAAAGTTTAAAAAATATTACATGTATCTGTCAGATATTAAGCTTTTCAGCTAAATGACATTTTTTAATATTAAAAATTAGTTATAAGTGTGCTAAACAGATGTGAAAATTTGGTATCAGCCATTTTGTTTTCATGTTTGAATAGACAGCCCCTTAATCATGATATGATAGTATAAGTGAGTAATAAAGAGCAGAAGGTAACATCCAGCCATCTACAATAAGTGATGAATTCATGATAAAAGAGTTATGTCCCTTTATTTACAATCTTTTTATCAGAGTGGACAGTGGGTACCGGTCAGCTATGAGTGTCCAGTCCTCGCTAGTCATGCATCCTATATATGCTTATGGCACAGAAGAACAGAAGCAAAAATATATACCAAAATTAGGTAAAAGTATTAAAAGCATTATATAGGTATTAAGATAAGGGAAAGAATTCCAGGGCTCTGTCTTATTGATGATTTTGTATGCAAGAAAGATTGTGCACCAGCATACATTCAGTATGGATAATTTTACTTTTTATTGCTATTCACTGAGTTTGTTCAGTAATATGTAATTTATATACATGTACAAATACTATAATTCAGATTCTATATCTACTGCTTGTATTAAACAAAAATTGCATTTTATGTGTCAATGCAATAAAAAATAAGAAGTTATATTATTTTATGTATAGGTGCCTCATAGTTTTATAGTGAAAATTGTTTAAGAAAACAGGAAATAAGTGTAAAATGATCAGTATTTTTAGTGCAATGTGTCTTAAATCACAAGAGGCAAGAGAATATATGTATACTAATTTTCTTGATGTGGTTACATGTAGCATTCCTTATGTTATTAATGACATAACACACTGCAAAGAAAGGTCTTCATTGCTTAATAAATACTGTATTTAAAGTAGGATATATTCAGTTTGAAGGTTGATTTCAGTCTGCTTTTGATCATTTTAGCTAAGGGAGAGCTGATTGGTTGCTTTGGACTGACTGAGCCCAATCATGGCAGTGATCCCTCGTCCATGGAGACAAAAGCCAGATACAACCCCTCAAGTAAAACCTACACACTCAATGGCACAAAGTCATGGTATGTATACAAAATCTACACACTCAATGGGACAAAGTCATGGTATGTGTACAAAACCTCAAGTAAAACCTACACATCCAGTGGGAAAAAGTCATGGTTTGTACAGATATGTTCTTTAGTGACCATTTCCCACTAAATATTTTAATCTTAACAATTTAGTTCAAGTCTTCAAGAGTTTAAACTTTTAATCACACAGTGATTTTAATTTTATTATACATGTAGGTCAATGGGCTATTGTAACTTTTGCATATATTTAGAATTTATCATTTAGTATTATCCCTTTTAATTTTTCTCAGAAAGAATAACAGTAGATCGAAGAAATTTAGGCTGAATTACCAAGTCCAATATGATGTTTGATCATTCATCTGATTCACCATTTTTAAGAAGCTGTTATATTTGATCAAATATGGGAGACCTGTCCACAATAACACTCTCAAGCTTTATAAATAGTTAAATGAGGATGAGATTCCCAAATCCTGGGATAATACTCAAAACCTGTGAACATACGAGGGGTTATCAAAAAGTTCGTGGACTAGCGCCATAAAATTAAAACCGCTTTAGGTACATCAATGAATTTTAAAACATTTAGTTAGCATCATCTTTTCTATCTATAGAATAAACCATAAATCATAAGTTTTATTTTTTAATAAATTGTTAACGTTTTTGTAAGTAATGGTATGTCCAGGCGGCGCAACCTCAATTTTGGCGGTTTTTCTACGTGAGTATAACTGAGAAAAACTCTTTTGATATGAGCATTTGTCATCCAAAAATCCCGTTAATTCAGGTATGTGGTACGACACATTTGTTCTTTAAAATTTGCAATTTTTACCCCATTCCGTGAGTTCTATGAAATTTTATCGTAAATTTTATATGAAGTGTCCAAACAATTAAGGCTTGAAAATGACGTCAAAAAGGGGGAGGGGTTTCTTTTCCAACATTCTATAAAGTTTCGCTCCTAGAAAAACTGGTATAAGACCCAGGGAAAGTTTAAACAGGCTACAGAAAAATAAAAAGCATTCAGAGTAATTGTTTTAAATACCCAAAAAGATTCAGAGAGATAAAAAAAATGTACAGTTATTGTCGATTTGTAGTCAGGGTGTCAAAAGTCAGTCATTTCGAAAAGTGACGTTGATCATGTTTGATAGAAAATGAACTCCAACAAGCTAAGTATCCTGGCAAAATCAAGTGAGGATCTTCCCCTATGTATATATCCATTTACAATACTATATGCATTGAAAGCAACTGTTCATGACATTGTAAAGTCATATACACAAGATGGGCTTAAGTCTTTACTTTACTCCAGGTAATCTCATCAAGATAAGTGTATGAGGTAGAGAGAGCGGACATTGAGAAACAATGACGTTGTCGGACGTATTAAAACAACATGGCGATAGCGCCGGGTGATCATATAATGTCTTTCTTATTTTAGAATAATTTGGCAAGTTCTCAACGAATCAAGCTAAAATTTTTAACATTTCTTAAACTTTTGTTGATTTATGTTCCTAATAAATTTTGTAAGCACAGACTACATGGTATTAATATTATCGCATCAGTCCACGAACTTTTTGATAACCCCTCGTATATAGTTAATCTTGACCTTGAAATTAATTGAAGCATTAAGTCAAGGTGAGTTGTTCGTATCAATTACTGAAACTGAGGTTGGCCTTGGGCTTGAGATTGGAAATTGAAATACATATGTGTCTCTGTTTTGTTAGATGTCTTTTAATTATCATTATTAACTTTCAACAGATTAAACACTTTAACAGGATGAAATGTTTTAACAAATGCCATTGAAGTTGATCTTGAAATCGATAAATCATACATTTTAACTTCTTCTATTATCACTTAATACAAATTTAATGTTTATTAAATATTGATATAAATTTTATATTGATATTTCATGTACTTGTAACTGCATATATACTTGTTTGTACATAGTCATTTAAAGTCAGATACATCAAACTTCTATTTACAGGATAACAAATTCCCCCATTGCGGATGTGTTCATTGTGTGGGCTAAGTGTGATAAAGACAATGACAAAATTCGAGGGTTTATCCTTGAGAAAGGTATGAAAGGGTTAACGGCACCAAAGATAGAGGGTAAATTCTCCCTCAGGGCCAGCATCACGGGACAAATTGCTATGGACGATGTGGAGGTTCCTGAGGAAAATATGATGCCCAATGTGATTGGTTTAGGGGTAAGTACTTGGTGAAGCATTTATTTATATGAACCCAGGATTCAGTATTAACTTTTTTAAGCTCTAGTGTGTATGGACTAGTGACTTCCAATATTTACTAGTCCACAAAGCATTTCATATGACCGGCCTCTGTCAGATAGAAACTTTTTAGTAAACTTTTGAAAAAAAAAATCATTCAAATTTAGATGTGTTTATAGGCCTAATAAAATAAAGAGATTTTCTTCATAATGAAGGAAATTTGATTTCAATGGATAAAAATGGCTAAAATCAATATTTGCATTATTAGAAAAAAAAATATATTCCATGTCGTTCCATTTTAAATGATAAACACCTTACATGATGAAGCATTCTTGCATGATTGTCTTTTTGACTGCTTTTATATAAAGGATTTAAAAAAAATAAATAAATAACATTTTGAGTTGTAAAATAAGGATAAGTGTGTAACAATTAGCTGAAAAGCTAAATAAATAACATTTTGAGTTGTAAAATAAGGATAAGTGTGTAACAATTAGCTGAAAAGCTTGCTCTGCAGAAGCACTTCAATGACTTTGATTACATTATACTTGTAGTACTACTATAAATATAAATGTATCATACTTGTTAACTACTTTTCTTTCTCATCCAGGGTCCTTTTGGATGTCTTAACAATGCTAGATATGGTATTGCTTGGGGAACTCTTGGTGCAGCTGAATTCTGTCTGGAAACTGCTCGACAGTACACACTTGACAGGTATTTATTGAATTAAAGTGTACTGTTTCCTGTCATTTTACGGCTTTGTGTTCTCTGTGAAAAGGCTGAAATCTGTTACAACCAGGATCAAACTGTTATTGTAATGTTCCACATTTCCAATTCAGTGGCTTCTATAGTAACTGTGTTGATCAGATTTAGTGTCTGTCCTTCATTGTTCATTTGCTCAGGTAAATTTAATGTCAATAATATTTAAGGATTTAAAAATCCTCAAAATTCATAATTGGAACACAATCTGTGAATGAGGGAGATGTGGCGAAGGAGTGCATTGCAACTGAATAGTGTTTCAAATGTGCATTTTGTTTAACCAGGATAGAGAGATCTAAAACTAAAGAAACTTTCAAATGAACTCGTATATCTTCTGTGCTTTAATCCTTAGAAAGCATTGTCATTGAATGAATAAATATGCATTCAGTTGCAACAAGAGTTACAGCCCTTTTCCACTTCAAGATTTTATTACCAAGAAAACCTCTTTTCTTTCAACAGATTTCAGTTTGGAAAACCTCTTGCCAAAAATCAACTTCCACAGAAGAAGATGGCAGATATGCTAACGGAAATCTCAATAGGCCTTCAGGCTTGTTTACAGGTCGGAAGGTTAAAGGATGAGGGAAAGTAAGTATAAGACAACATTTTAACCTCATCAATTTACTGAAAGGGACTTAAAGTTTACATATTAGATAAGATTTCAGAATACACAACATCAAATTAGACAAGTTACACTGTACATATAGATATATAGAATTTTAAAAATCCACTTGTATTTTGGATAAGACAAATTCCTTATAACTAGTGTACAATAAGGCAGAGAATATTTCAATGTAAAACTATTTTGCTCATTCAAATTAAAAATAACTTCAAAGATGTGTATTAACATGTATTATTCCTATGCACAATCAGAGTGACATACTATCAATGGGATTTCAAAATTGATTCGATATATCTGTATTAACAGAGCAACACCAGAAATGATTTCACTGATCAAGAGAAACTCGTGTGGCAAGGCCCTGGATATTGCTCGCGTAGCTCGAGATATGCTCGGAGGAAATGGAATCTCAGATGAGTACCACGTCATCAGGCACGTTATGAACCTGGAAGCCGTTAACACATATGAAGGTACATTTCTTCCGCAATTTAATCATTAGAAGTATATTAAGGACCCTCTCTACACTAAACGAAAATGTTTTTTGGACATTGAGAAAATTATATTGTATAAAGGTGTAAATGTTGAGCTTATTTATATCGTTTTCAACATTGGGTGCCTGGCTTTTACCCCCAGGAAAAATGTTCAAAGTCAACAAAGTTTTGATGAACAGAAATCACTGTTGTTTACCTAAGTGGGGAAAAAGCATGCAGATGAGGTGTTTAATTAATTTATCTTGGCCTATCAAAATGTTAAGAATGCTTGAATTCATTAGAAATTGATTGAAAAACTGTAGATTTCAATTTACTTTATTTTAGATCTAAGGGCAGATTACTCCAACTTCATAAAAATACCACAGAATCAGAACTCTTTACTGTGCAGTGTATAGAGGGTTCTTAAATATAAGAAAAATAAATGTATAGCAAGATAATGATAAATATTGTATACAGTTTAAGTTTTTGATTGCAATTTTCAGCATTGAAGAATCAGTATATCTTTTGTAGTTTGTACTTTAAATTAGATCAGTATTAAATCATTCAGTATTTTTGTAGATTTGTTGAAAATTATGCAAATTTTTAAGAGTATACATGTACCAAACATTTGTATATACCGGTAATTAAATTGATGTAACATACATTTTAGTATAATTCTGCATAATAAAGCAGCAACTTTTGCTAATATTTTGCAATTTTGTGTATTAAGTATGAATATCATATTATTAAAAATACATAAATTTATAACTAAAAAAATGATGCACTGTAATTGTATATTTTATAATAAGTACATGTTGTAACATGTCTTACTATCTATTTTAGGCACACACGATATCCATGCCTTGATTTTGGGTCGAGCCATCACTGGTCTTCAGGCTTTTACAGCGGACTAATGATCAAGTGAATTTGTTAAATTTGTGTCTGTGATAGTAAAACTAAGTCATTGAATCAATGAGAAAAACATTGGAGTTTTTTTTATTTTCTCAAAATGTTGCATCAAAAAAGTTGATTTATATTTTGTTTTGTAAATTAAATAAGTTAATATTATATAACTAAGTTAACAAATGTGTACAGGTAATGTCAGTGTTTTGGTTTGTATAGTATAATGGGTTTTAAATACATCATGATATATCATGTAATAACATAATTTTCTTCAAAGTGAATTCAATGCATAATAAAGTACTTTCCTAATAGACATTCTGCCTGATGCATCTATAAATTGGATACAATGATAATACATGTAAATTGTATTGAAGAAGTCAAGGATATCTTGAAAATGCACAAAATTTTAAGCTATACATGTACAAGAATTTTTTTTTCCCTTTAAACAGTAACTTTTTTTCCTTGTATATTGTGAAATGCATATTAGCAGTTATATTTGGGATTTTGAGATGAATTTTTGTATTAGGACCTAATTGCAAGTGTAAAATCATGCAATGTGAATAACTGTTGCTTAAATAGCCTGGTTATGAACAGTAGTGTTCATTTCAAACATTTTATTGAGTTTTGTTTATGTATTACACAGAATCATGAATCAGATTTGTTTTGATACTGTTGTGAAATAAACTTCAGCATGTACGTGATGCAAGTTTCTCTTCCTGGTGATCGACATATGGAAAATTCATTTCCTCGTTCGTGATTGATTTCAATCTTATTTTCACTGTATCTTTGGAATCAGGTTGATTTCCTGTTTGATATGCAGTTCCTGGTTCAAACTATTTTCAAAAACAAGGTTACTCAGGTCTTTGATTATAACAATGATAAAATGAAAAATTCACCTAGAGAGCTTTGGTCTTGTAATTGGTGTACTTGGTCAAGAAAACAGGGGCAAGCTATTAACCCTCAGAGTTTATGTAATCTGAAATTGCAACTGTTTTCAATTAAAATGTTAAAAGTCAAATACACCATAATTGCTTACCTACTAAAATGCTTAAGATGACAATTGAGTGTTCACTAGCTACGTAATTTAAATGGTCTCACAAACTCACTACATAAATAGAAAGTACATGGATGAATTAAAGATCTAATTTTATTTATATAGATTGGATTAACCAGCAAATTATTCAAGGTTTACAAACCTAATTGCAGAATTAAACTTTTCTCAAGAAAATAATTAACAGATATGGTACATTTTTACGAGATTAATGCTTCATGTACAATTAAGAGCAATCAGTTGTGTAGCTAGGCAAAAATACTATGGAAATTTTTCCAATTGCAGAGAGTCTGGGGGGCTCTTTAAGCCCCCCTTTCCCCAGGGGGCAGAGTTTCAGGAAGCTCTAGATACAGAAATCGACAATTATGGGGTATTAGATAGAGTACGTTTCATACTCTGTGGTATGAAGATAATAGTCCAATCCACACTTTGAAAAAGTTGTGTCCCTTTATTGGGTCAACCAAAAAGAAAAAGAATAATTTTTCTCTTTCAATATATAGGTATAGAAATTTCAACAATCTGTACATGGATTTTTAATGGAAGAAAATTGCAATTACTAAATAGTTACATTCATCTCTAAGACACCTATTTTACAAGACAGTTTATCTATGTTACACATTTTTTTTTCTTTTTATAAAAATGACCAATTGCTCAAGTCTGCAATTTTAATATGAATAGTATAATTATGTTGAGAGAGAGAGAGATTAAAAAAAATGAGACAATCAATTGGCAAGGTTAATAGACATTTTGAAAACATTGCATTTTACTGGCATTGCATTTATTTTTCAATATAGAAACTCAATGCACATATATTAAAAAAAATTCAAATAAAGTTTTTCCCTTTGCCATGCACCAGTAATATAATTACAAAATGCGAAATCATTTGTTAGTCTTTTTAAAATTAGACTAAGGACTAGCAGTGATCACAGTGGAAAATGCAATTATAAAAAAACATAAATGCAATTCCTTGCAAAATATGTGTGCATTAAAACTTGCACAAATGTATATCAAATTGTTGTGTTACTAATTAATTTTCAAGTTCTACAAATGCATGTATATTGTAAAACAGTTAATATTTACAAAATGGAACTGAATAAAGCAAATGTATTCCTATTGCAAAAATGGTGCTTGCTTAGCTAGTAGATACTGACAGCTTACAACATCTTCATGCATACATAATGCTGTTCTTCTTGTAAGCCAAACAAACCTTATATATTCATATTTTCAAGTGTTACCCATATAAGTCTTCCTCATTATGTTTTGCTAGCACTTCATATAGGGACGTTAATTGCACGATATGTTTTGCATGTACCACTATTCTATTTGTTAAAATTATTACCTTTTCATTCAGTGCAAAACTCGGTTAGCATATATACAAATACATGTACCACATTCAGAGCAGTCTGTTCACTTCTCATATTGACGTTTGACATAATCACATTCAACATTTGAACATATTCCAAAAAAAAATGTACTTGTATCTTTGAAATATATTAATGTTTGTACATTTTGATATGAGAGACTTCACAATATTTTAACAGGGAGGTTCCCTTTTCTAAAAAAAAAATGTACCGGTAGATTCAGGTTGGAAAGCCTACAATTTGTCGAGGAGTTTGCGTAAACTTTCTACTGGGTTTTCGTCAGAAGAAACAGAATTTCTAACCTGAATTTTACTACCTTTTACTAAACCTTGAATCTCGAAGAAATCTAATCTGTTATTTTGTACATCATCCAGTTTAAAGGGAAGTTCTTCGATTGGTTCAAATGTTAAATTCATTAACAAGTCTTCCTGTTCTTCTGTTAACAAACCGCCTTCTGATGACGGTTGTGTATAATCATCATTATCGTCATCTTCATCAGCTTCAAGGACAACTTGAGGTACATGGACGTCAACCATAGTGCTTCTCTTGCTTACAATATTCCTACGCATAGGTACATAATCATAATCATTTGCAGTTTCCTCAGAATTGTCCTTTTCTTTTTTCTCATCCTTCACGGTATTATTTACATTTTTATAAACCTCGTCCACCTCTGAATTTTGATCTTTGTGAATATCTCCATTTCTCAGCAGGACTGACTCTTCTTTTTGAATACACTTTTCTTCAGTAGTACGTTCACAAGGAGAATCTTTGTCTGAAATCTGGTAGCTGGTTTCTTTTGGTCCATTTGAACTAGGCCCTGACTCCATTTTGGGAATCTCCACTTCTGAATTGTTCATGGTGATACTTGGTATTGATCTTCTGCTTTTTCTCATTACAACACAAGAAATATCAACTTCGCCATAGTCTTCTGTGGCAACACTCTTCCTACTTTCACTACCAACTAGTGTTTCATACCCAGAGTCTGGTCTGTTTTCTTCTTGAGTGTGAGGAAAGGAAGAAAAACTTGTGCTATTTCCTAAATTAGGTTTAATATCAGTTTGGGATGTGTAAATGTTTTCTGGTTTAGAATTATATGTTTCAGGCCTGCCACTGTCACACTTTGTTTCAGTTTCCTTACCACTCAAATTTGAATGTAAGACATCCTTTGCTAATTTCTCTTTGTAACTTCCTGTTTTTACAGAATTCTTTTGCGTTTGGTCTGCACTTTCTTTGCCACCTGCCTCCCAAGAAGAATCTGGCTTTGTGAAATTTAGATCCCTTACAGGTACATTTTTCTCAACCGTCTCAACTTCACGCTTTGAATTTACATGTCTGCTATTTGCAGTCAAATTAGATCTGTTAATTTCTTCCTTTTTGTAAGATGGTCGTCTATGCGGTTTGTCACTCACAGTTGGTTTGCTTTGAACTTCTTTCTGCACAATAGAAACTTCATTAACAACTTTTTGGCCTCCCGGCTTGTATTCAGCAGAAGGTTTAAGAGTCTCAGTTCTGGATTTGATCGATGTTGTCTTGTCGTCTGCCTTTTCGTACCTGTGGGTTTCTTTTGTATGGGCTTGTTCAGCGATAGGTTTTCTAATTATAATTAAAAAAAGCTGTTCAATACTATTTTTTTTTTAATTTCCCCATAACTGACATACATGAAGCTATAGAAAGAATGAACGCTATATATGTATACTTACTCGTCACTTTTGTCAGGAGGTTGGATAGCTTGTTTAATGTACGTGATCCATTCGTCACATTTCACACTGTTCTCTGCAGCCTGTTGAAAATTCGTAAAACAAACATCAGATTATTCAAAAATCATTCTTACATCAATCAATATGATTTTCGAAATTCCATCTTAACATTTTAATGATCTGGAACAAAATGATCATGTCTCTTACGAGCGACAAGGTTGAAATATTTGCCGACTCTTATAGAGCCTTTTGCTGCGCATTTTCTGTGAATTTTCTTGCAGCAGTTGGCTCATGAATAATTGAGTCAATCTCTGACTCATCGTTTTCCACCGATTTTGCATTGATGTTTATAAAATTGATAATTCTAGTAAATTACGCAAAATGCGTGCAAAATGATTTACAGTCATTGCCATTAGCTTTGACAAATCTCTTTCAGAAAGCATGTTTACGCTATACTGTGTTATAGGATGTGTACAAACATGAAACGTAAATTTATTAAGCACTCTCTCTTGCGGAACGAGGAGACGTGCAAAAAAAAAACTGCATGATTATTTATTCGAAGAAAACAACTTTTAGAGAAGCAGGTTGCTTCGCTCGCTATTGGAATTTTTAACAATAAATTGTTGAGATGAAATTTCATTCCTTTTCCGAATTGTAGTCATTTGACTGTTTAATCCACGTTTAACATCCCCTTTCGCCCAAAAACAAATTAATTCTAGATAGACGGATCTTTAAATAATTCAATCTTGTCGAAATTGTCACCTTTCGCCGCCTACCTGCCTCAGCTCGAAATATGCCGTGTATCGTTGGAAAACGTCTGCACATACATTTTTTTTCAATATCATATTTCACTAAATGAGATAAATCCAAAAAAACTTACATAAAGGGCAAACCGGCCATCATAGTCGATTAGAAACTCGCTACCTGTGGAAACCACTTTCTCTACCTTCCTCACGAGCGTCAAATCCAGCGAACCGATACAAGATGACCTCTGTTCGTCGAAAAAAGAAATAATGATTTAATTTCAACAGTTGACTGAAGCGACAGTAAAATTTTTATGAAATACTTCCTGCCTAGTTTTTAAGCAAATATTTCATATTGACATTTTGATAATAGATTTAGAGGACGCGTTCGATTGTCTACTTGACCTTTCCTGAATGTATTATTGAAGCAGATAAACTTTAGGATGAAAAGTCAGAGATAATTTAAAGATAAAACTAAAGAGTTTTTCTCCCCAGAAATGTTTAAAATGCGTAATTCTTTTCCTTCCATTTTATGAAAAAAACTTCAGGAAATACATTAAATATCATGATAAATATACAGAAAAGTATAATTTTTTCTTTCCGAGTCGATAAAACTCAGTTCCTGTTGGCTTTCAGTCGTGCATGGGTACGAAAATGCTAATGAAACAAAATATGTTACTAGTAAATGATGCTTATTAGCGCGCGCATGTAGTCTCATCAATACAAGTATTTTAAGTATATTTATTATTTGTTGTATAGCTGTGAGACCAGTTCGTGAACAAACTTCACCCGGAATTCAGCTGAAATACGATGCTTGTAATGGAGAGGAAGTACGCCCGAACTACAGAGAGGACGAAGAGATTCTGGGTGTGGTTTCCTCTTTTCTTTATGTACATTGATCCTCAATTATATATATACTAAAAACAGGGGGGGGGGGCACTATCAAGAAAAATCGCAGTCTTAAATAAATCCTTGCAACAATATCAAACAATTATATAAACGCACCTACAAAAATTTAAGTTTTCCAATTAAAGGATTTTGCAAAGCTAAATCCTAAATATAAAAACCTTGTCAAAAGTCAATAAAAATTTTTGGAAGTCAAAAATAATTTAAGAACCCTCCCCCCCCAAAAAAAAAACATGAGATATTAATTTCACGTCTCTTATGTGAACTCGTTGATTATCATTCAAGTAAGTATCAATTTATCATTTTTTAATAAAGGATAATCCATGACGGACATTTTTAAATGTGCAAATTAAATGGTTTTGTACATTTGCATAAATTTTGCAATAAAATCTGTTGAGAGAAGCCACGTTTAACAATAGGTGAGTGGAGAGCCTGCAAACCTCAACCAACGGAATCCTATGTTGTCGTGAACAGGAAGCAGAAAGTCTATAGTCTAGTACTAAATCTTAGCAGGTAATATCAGTAGCCATTGAAAACCATCCAGGTGCCGACATTTTCATGTGTGAGTGTGTGTGTGAATCCCCCATAGAATTCCCCAAACAATACAACACACGTTATCTAGTTGTCACGTTACTTATAATCTGTTAATACACATCGAATGATTAAACTTTTTTACAATACATGTATATCATATTGACTGTATTTATGCCCTGTGTTACATGTATATGCCCTATATGGCGATAAACGAGAGGCGTTGAAGTTTTTCATATTATGTCCCCCCCGGGGGGGGGGGGTATTCAATATCTACATGTTGGAAGGGGGTACATCCAGCTTTCTTCACCCATAAGAGGCCCTTTTCCTCACTCCATTTAAATGATTACAATTTAGCTTTAAAAATTCAAAGTCACATAGCATCTCTGGTTGTTAAGTATTAGTGGTACACCTATTAAAATGAGTCATCTATCGTACTGAAGCACTGTTAGAAAGGATAGTCATATACCATATAATCTGTTGTCAACTTGTCATAATTGTGTGTGTTGTAGACTACATGTACAGGCTAATTAGTTCTTTGTGGTTAGTGACTAATTTACTTCGTAAAAAAACACTGTATTCATATTATCCAGTTTTTCAAAATTTAACTTTGAATTACACTGTACTTAGAACACTGACTTCAAACCTATATGCCTTAAGGGTATATATATATATATATATATATATATATATATATATATATATATATATATATATATATATATATATATATATATATATATATATATAAAATAGAGAGAGAGAGAGAAAGAAAGAAAGAGAGAGACCTCTCCCCAATTATATACAGTGGCATATAATCCGTATAATCACCAGATAGATCAAGCCCCCCCCCCCCCCCCCCGGACTTTATATGTGTGTTCCCTTATATTTTCTGTGCTATCTTCTAAACTTAGGCATTGCAAATTATATTGGGATTTCCCCCCTGCAAAAATTTTTTTTCTATTACAGTTCCTGAATATGATGCAATAAATTTGTCTCAGCGTACCCATAGTTTAAATCCGTGATTAGAACAGCGTTCCTCGAATTCGTGAATATATCCCTTTAAGGATAAATAACACTAACAAACTTTTTTTTCAGAAATCAGCAAATATTCTCATAAATTTATTTTTAAATTGGTAACCCGAATAATGTTTGCCAGGTATAGTGGGAGAATTTTATAAGATTTTGTCATAAGGTCAAAAAGTTGTGCAAAATTTTGTATGGAATTATATAGAAAGCGACACAAAGTCACATTTCTAAGCATCAAAGAAAACTTACAAGTTCTTTATAATTTAGGGATTTATTATTTTTGTCATTTCTAATCAAAATCAGTCAAATATATATATCAATCCATGCATCAAATTTTAGTTTGTGTTAAGTATCCTTAATTCCAGAATCAGCTAGCGACAATATCGATATATCGGAGTTCTAAAACATACCTTATTTTCTCTGTAGAAAAATAGTTCTTTCCCATCCAAAACGCACCAAACCTTTGTTTTTCGTCCAGGTATCCTCTACAAATTAGACAAATAATAAATACACATTCTAAATCACACATAGTCAGCTGACATAAAAATTGTGTAACAGTGTATTTTTGTAGACTATAGACTTTCAGTTTTTAGACAGATGCTTGAGGGAAATGTTTGATCATTCGGAGTTGAATTTCCGTTTAGCCGAGTGGCAATCAACAATAGAGGATGGCTTACAAGGAGATTTCGGGAACAATCAGGAATGACAACCCAAACACTTGGAAGAATGTCCATCAGCATAAAATACATGTTATCTTTATAAAACCAAAATATTAATTGGATTCTTTGATGAAAGTCATTTTGGCTGTCACTTTTTTGATTTTTTTTCAATCTTTTTATTTTTATCTTCTTTTGGAAGTTGGAACTTGTAGGACAGCTGCTTAGCTTTTTATTATCAAAATAATATATTGTCAGGAAGATTGTGACGTGTTACTCTGCGATGAACAGCTCTATAACCATTGCATTGGGAACCAAACAATGCATGATACAATAGTAATGGGATTCTATACCGTATCGAATCCGCTTTTAAACAATACAAAAGACTGTGATTTATAGCATTTAAAAAAAATATCTTAAAACTTTATAAAAAATGTCTTTAATTCTCGAAACATTGATTACATAAAACGATTCAATTAATTATCTACTTTTCTTGTACGATTGATAATTTCTTAGACTATTTACAAGTTTTAAAAAACTTATGAAATCAGCTTTAGGAAATCTGCACCAATAAAGCAGTGTTGTGACGGATAACAGGTGACAACACACAATGGGAATTTTTTTTAATAAATGAGAAGTGGAAAACGGATTACAATGAAATATGAAAATAAAAGTTCCCTGTAATTATTCTAATTATTCTTTATTCGCATGTATGTATTATCATTGTACTTAATAACAGGAAATGCAGTACTTGTTGACAATAGATTACATAACAGATAATTTGTAAGATCAAAGGATGAATCGAAAGATGAAAAGTGATTTAAACAAATATAACGGTACAAACGTACCCCTGGTTTGTGCAGAAGTCCCTCAAATCTAACGTCAGTCATATTCAAGTGGGTCACGATGCTTAAAAAGTGTCCAGGTCTCAGGTAATCAGCAAATACACAACAGGTGAATATATAAATCCGCAAGAGGCACAACACAGCAGGTCTACAGAAACATGTTTATGATTTATTTTTTCTGTTCAATATGCAGTCACTTTATTTTGATCCCCGTGTAGATGTAGGAAATCATTAACCTTCCTCCTTCGATATTTCTGGAATTTTGATACCCATTGTCCGGAAATTTTATAGCACGGGGCGGTAGTAAGGGGTAGCTGGGTCGCGCTTAAGACCAAAACTTCCGGGTAAATTCTCTGTGGGATTAGATATTATTTACACCACACTATCACTATATATTAAATATTACCTGTATTTATCAGTCACTGTCAAGTTCGAACTCGAAGTTAACTTTAGACGTTCCATTTAAATGGACCTCAAAGGCAGGAATAAAACTAAAAATATTTTCATCAAATAAACTATATGGTCAATGAGTTTTGAAGCTTAAATATAGTATAAAATGCGGAACTATAAATACAGTTCTATACAACTTACGCTGTACGAGTTTATTCCAGATATGCAATCTTTTAAGATCCCCACTTTCCTTAAAATAATAGAAATTGTTTATGATACAATCTTAATATTTTGCTGGATATAAAGCAATTCAAACACGCGATATATTTATATAAACATGCATAATGCCCTTAAGTGTTTTACCTATTAGTGATTGAGAGTTGGTACTGCAATGTACCTATAATTTCACCCGAAACAACAACTTTTTGCGCAGTATTTATACAATTTACAGAACATTTTAACCTTGATTAGTAAAGCCATATTGTTTCATTTGTATGATCTATCATTTTTTATATATAGGGCAGGAACATAAAAGAACCCAAAACTCAAAGACTACGTAGCCCGTATGTTCCCAAAATTTGATCAATATCAATTTTCTGTTTAAAGCACATTTTTCAAAATGCTTTATAAGGAAACAAAGAAAGAGATAACAAATGAAATCATTAGAAATCCTAAATATAAAAGCAATTTAATCATATTTTCTTTAAAATAGTACAATATTATTATACTGAAATGAAATAATTCAGACATGTAAGGATATGAAATAAATGAAAAAAAAATCAATATTTAACAATTGATAAAACATCTTAAGGAAAAATATCGACAAAATGATATAAACATTCTTTTTAATTCTTTTTTGACCATGAAACATATAATAGAGTCTGCTTTCACTTAGTTGCAATAAAGTAGTCCTTGGGTAGTGGTGGTGGGTCCCCCAAAACATCAGACAAAAATAAATGTATAATGGGAGAGGTCTACTTTATTGCAGCTTGGTTTCGCACTATAAGATGATGTATTTTGAGTCTCTTCCTTATTTATATGTCTTATTTTTTCCCACTTAATTTATTCGGAGATAAATTCAACAAAATAATTCCTGGAATTCATGCCCCGCTTATGGAGAAAATATGAGTGTGGAAGATCTGAAAATGCAGGTGGCAAAAAGAAAAGAATCATTGACCTCGACCTTTCACATTAAAATTAATATTAAATAATAATAATAAAATTAATTTATAAAGCGCTTAATATTAATAAAATTACTCTAAAACGCTGTACAATAAAACGCAAATAAACATAATTTAAGAACTAAGAATAAATTAATTACATGTAATTTAACATATGTGTCAGACTCTTTCATCAGTTAGAGAGATTCACCATCTCAAGTTTCCATGCAAAAGCCTAAAGAGGCCTAAAGTTATCATTCGAAAACTACTTCATGCAGCATAAGAAATTTTACTTTGGCTTTTGACCTTTTTGTCCCTAAAATAACAGAGGTCTTCTTTAAGTCAAACAGAGTTATGACATTACATGTATAACATGAAGCGGACACCAATTAAGGCTCGCCGTAGCTTAACTTGCCTGAACTGGAGGGAGACTCTACGGTACCACTAGAAAAAGCTAACTAGCGAGGCAGCTTAAGCTCCCTATATACTGTGCGCTACCCCCCCCCCTCCTCCCCCACTCGGAGAATCTTCGTCCTGCATGAAGCTGAGCATGATTCTGTTTGAAGTGTCTGGGCCTCATCGTTAACAGCAACCTATGCCCTCTCCACGGATGTTAAGGCTAAGTCCTAATACGCAAAAGCATGTTAATTCTGATCAATTTTTAAAACCCATAGCAAGCGTATAAATTCAGCCTTCTGCAAATTCCATGATTGTTTTAATTACCCTAATGAAAATACAACCTATAGTTGGGTTATATTTTGACCGACACAAAGTTCTAGCTTCCTGAAGCAAAACCTCACACACCTATGCCGCTATCACCAATTTTGTAACGTGAAGCAGTCAAGTATCCAACGGCTTTGGGCTCGCCGTATCTTTTAAAATTAACTTGCCTGAAATGGACCTAAGGGAGACGCACCTACCGTATCACTTGAAAAGATAGCTCACTAGCGAGGCAGTATAAGTTCCCTGTATACTGTCCACGACATATATAAAATTTCAGTGCAAAAACCCCAAGAGAACTAAAGTTATCATTTTGGAAACCATTTTATGCAACCTGTAAATTTCTGACCTTGACCCTTCATCTTTCAAAAAATTTCAATGCAGAATCTCAAATAGGACTAAAGTTATCATTTTTAAATCATTTTATGTAGTGTATGAATTTTTGACTTTGGAATTTGACCTTTTGACCTCAGTAAAATCAATAAGAACCTTCTTTTAGTCATAAGGAGTTACGATAAAATTTAATTGCAAAAGCTAGATGAATTTCCGAGATATCATCTGGAAAAAAAGTGTTTCACGCAGACAGAATCCTGAATAGAAGATAGACAGCGAAGGTGGAGGACAGGGAAATCAGAATACGACAATATCAATCGAATTATAGGATTCGAATTAAAAAGAATATTATAATAAAGATATATATTTTGTGAAACTTATTGTATTCAATCGGTTTTATCTCGTTTGTTTGTTTTCTGCATGAAAAGAAGTCCTTAATTCTAAACTTCTCCGGAACTTTGTACCGACTAAATGGAATCTGTCCAAGAAACCTCCTTCAAATTTCGTGAATGATTAGTACTATCATCTAAGAGATCATGGGTCCCGAAACATAAACCTCTCTTTATAGGTCCCTTGGCTCTTACACAATCTTGAGAGCTAGTAAAAAGTCCTTTTGTAAGAGAAGGGCAGAAATTTGTCACACTAAATATGTGTTTGTTTTTTTTTTTTCAAATCATGGCACAGACAATTGAACCTCTGAGAGTATTGCCAAGCATACAAGTGTTACACATCGACTCCAACACCTTTTTCTTTACAAAATCTACATTTATTAGAGTTCGATATTTCGATAATGTACAATTCACGTCATGAAATATAGGATATTGTAAAATCAATTTTTCGTGGTTCGAGGAGTAACTATTGTTTCGAGGGGATTTGACTTCGTGCTTGAAGAAGAAACTTCATACATGTACTGCAATCTGATGATGTATTGATGCAACTATGCTACAAAAACTTCATAGGTGAAAATTTACACATCAAATTCTGTAAAACTATATTAGGTTTGAATAGAAAAAGTATGAACCATGCTTCTCTTTCAGAACTGGGTAGATATCCTTTACATTATGATAATGTCAATAGATTACTTAAATATTGCTACAGACTAGAAAATTTAACATCAGATTTTCCTTTATTAAAAGATGCATTCATATGTAGTAAGGAACTTCATCTCGCCAAAAGAACAACTTGGTATTCCTCAATAGAAAAATTACTAAGAATTCTTGATATTCCAAACATTATGTCATATATACTAAGAGTAAATTTGTAACTTCATTAAAACAATCCCATATAAAAAAAAATACTCTATGAATTGGCAGTACTTAAATGAAACACTAAAAGAGGATAAACTTGTCACTTATTTGTTTCTGAAGAACAATTTTAGACTGGAAAAATATCTAATCTTATTAAAACCTGAAGACAGAAAGCCAATTTGTAGATTACGTGTATCAGCACACAGACTCTTTATAGAATTAGGTAGATATAATAACACGCCTAGAACAGAAAGAATATGTAAAAATTGTATGCTTAATCAAACTGAAGATGAAGAACATTTCCTTATTCACTGTAGCAAATTCACAAAGGAAAGAGAAGACCTATTTAACTTAATCTCATCTAAAGTAATTTACATTTTACAAAATTGCCTGATAAACAAAAATTATTCTGGATTCTATATTGAGAGGAATTAGATATTTTGAATTCTCTTGGAAGATTTTTACAAAAAGCATTACCATAAGTCAAGTCTGAGGCATGTGAACTGTTTTATGATAAATTATGCAAAAATATGTACTTTAATATGTGTATGATATAAATATGTAAATTTGCAAATATATGATGTATGATATTATTTGTGCAGAATTTATGTACATGTATATATGTATAAAAACTATCTGGTTTATTCATTCTTTTTATGTCTTTCTCCTATCAATCATGCAACTCTTTCTCTCTTGTGTGTATGTATATTGTATTACATGTATATGACTATATATAAATGTTAATTTACAATGTACTTTCTTTTTGCCCCATGAGGGCCCTTAATTGGTAAATAAACTAATTGAATTGAATTGTAGAATAGAATTGACTTGAAATCATGGGTCTCTTCGTGCCAAAAAATCAACGAATTTCTTTGCGATTCGACAGTTTGCTTCTTTTTTTTTTTTTTTTTTCGAAGTTAGTATACCGAAGTCATTGTCTTAGGAACCGGCCGCCGCGGGTGATGGGGTGGGGTGGGGGTGGGAGATGAGGGGAGCGTGCCCCAATGATTTTGCCGATATATAGTACACTATAGAGAACATAGCTACGTTAAGTCTGTGCCCCCTCAATAATAACGATAACGTTTGATGATCCCGTGTTGGTCAAGGAATTTTTGCTGAGTAGTGCCCCTCCCCCCCCCCCCCAATGAAAATGTTTGGTTGAACCCCCCCCCCCAAAAAAAAAAAAAACTGCTTTCTATAGGACTGTAATTCATGCTGAAATACTTTTGTGTATGAGTCACTCAATTTGAAATCTTTCCCTTGTTCA